GAAGTAAGGCCAGGAGCCCCTGGTAGCGTCCTTGCTCCTAGTAGCGATGCCAGGAGCCCCTAGTAGCGTCCTTGCTCCTAGTAGTAAGGCCAGGAGCCCCTAGTAGCTTCTTGTTCCTAGTAGCGATGCCAGGAGCCCCTAGTAGCGCCTTGCTCCTAGTTGCAAGGCCAGGAGCCCCTAGTAGCTTCTTGTTCCTAGTAGTTTCCTGAGAATACCTTAATTTGTCCAGACTTTCCTGAGAATACCTGGCTCGCTCAGGCAATCCGCACACGATTGGCGGATCACGTGGATTGCTAGATGCACCTTTGACCCTTTCTTACAATCCAAATGTTTTTGTATTTGCTTTTGTGGGAAGCTTTTGTGATCTATTTTGCCGTTTGCTCTCAGACACCTGTGAGTGATAATCCTGATAGGTTTGTAGGGCTTTGAACTCTGACCGTGCCCTGCTCACAGTAGATCTAGCGGCTCCAGTTATCTTGCGCTTTGGATTCAGGAACTTTCTGGATCAGAGCACCGTGATACCGAACACAGGCGATGGAAGATCAAGTCTTGCAATGTGTTGAAGTCCTGTGAATTTCACACAGTGATGCTCAGTGCTGTCGAGGGCCGCTGGGTTGCTCGCAATACAGTCTACGGCCAGGCTCCGTTCTGCAATTTGGCCGAGATTGGAGTTAGCACGTGCAGACAGAGAGCAAAAACGTGCCATTCACATCAGATGGCACAAGCATGTAAGGGCGCGGAATCTCATTGAGAGCGGTAAACAGCGCCGCGCACCGCAAATGAGGTACATTCCACCAGGGCATTGGCATTCAGTTCTTCCAGTGATCTTTGGTCGCGCTGAAGCCAAGCTTTATTTGTGCATCCAATTGATTGAGCTCTCTGAGGAAGGGTGAGTGCGTGTCTGCAACTTGCTTGCAGGATATTGCTTGGATTTTCTTGCAGCACCGAGCTAGGCAGCTTCCGTAGAAGCCAACGACAGGTGAACCTGCGGGTGGCCAACATCCTTCACGCCAAGTGGATCAGCGAGGCTGGCTGCGAGTTACAAGATATTATGCAAAAAGTGCAGCAGGGAACATATTCAATTACATGAGATCGCATGTATAGCTTGCACTTAGTTTGTCAACCGGCAGAGGGGTCATGGGTCATAGCGAGGTTTTGTTTGCCACACTTGCAATGACGGCAAGAAGCCAGACTATGCAAATGATGGCCTCGAACACAGTTGACCAGACATATTCTTGTGAGATGGCAAGTGTTCACCCCAATTTCGCTGCTTCAGCTGCGCCTGGGCTATCAAGAGCATTTGTTTTGAAGGTTCGGCCTTGCGACTTCGACGGTGCTGGCGAGAGTATGACGCAGCAGGTCAATTAGACTTGTAGCACATGCGCATTATTGATCATTCTTATGCTTGACACTGTGACGCTATACCCTTTCCTATTTCCTCACATTCTTCACGTTCCTTTGTGCCACGACATTGCTAACGTCCAGGCGGACCTAGCTGTACAAGAACTGCATGCAGCTTTGCACCGATGCCGTCCGCCTCGCTGCGGGACCCATAGATTTGGAGGCTACAAGGCTTGTCAAATACCTTCCGGGATATTTGGAGGATTGTAGCGTCCAGAGAAACTTCTTGGTTGGCCTTCTTTTGCTGAGGCTTTCCTTTCCAGAATGCGTATTCTGATGGTTTGAGGCGCCATGTTCGATACGCCCTCTGGAATCAAGGTTTTGGGGGGTCGACGATTTGTCGGAGCCAGTGCCTCGCAACATGACATATTGATATTAGCTTCAAAGGCTGGGTGCTACGCTGGGCTACTTGGAAGCTGAAGGCTTTTTAACTGACTGGACTCCATCCAAGACATGTACTGCAAGGCCCTCAGAGGTGATTGATGCAATCAAGCCGTTTAAAGACTTGCAGCTTGTCACTGAGCTTAGGTTGGAGTAAATCCACTGCTGCCAGCGTCTCAAGTGCTCACGTCACCAGAGTCTCTTTTTTACTAGTAACTGGATGGAACTAGCGGCTAGCGTCAGTAGCACAATGTTTTGTGTTCCGACATTTGTCAATTTTTCTCATCCTATCTGAGACACAGGGTGGACAAGTTCTGAGGGAGCTCAAGTTTTGGATATTACATGATACTTACATGATATCACTAAATTACTGCCTTCCTCCTTCCCGGCCCAGATTCAAGCATTGAAGTCTCGCGGGTAGCGTACGCACGTGGATAGTAGGGCCTGGGCTAGGGGATCCACGCGACTGTGGTAGGCCCCAGGCTGGCCGGTAGGGTAGCCTAGCCCTATCCTGGGGTACGCGTAAGTTAGCCTAGCCTCAGGGTATATAGAATACACAGGCGAGCAGGTAGCACGAGGAGTTGTACTTGAGAAATGCTTTGTGGGAAGGACTCCGGGAAGGACTCTAGATGGAGTATGGCAGCGGCAGTTTATTTAGACCTGCTTTAAATGCTGGAAGCACCATCGCCAGGCCTACAGCATGCTTTCCGTAGGCCCCACACCAAACCTATCCCACTCGCCGACCTTCCCCGGCCCTACACGACCGCTATTTGCCCACCATTCCCAGTCCATATGCCGACCGTACTGGGCCTCACCCTTCATCTTGGCAAGCCAACCACAGGCTCTACTACGACGCTGTGCCTCCCTTCTTCGCCAACCCGCTGAACCGTCAACGCTTTTACAGGGTAATTTATTCCTTCCTTTCTGCCACTTGGTTTCACAGGTCGTTCTTTTCTTTCGTCTTACTGCAAGCATTGTGATGGGTACAATAGTACTTGGCTGCTGTGGCAGCAGCCGCTGAACCACTCGGCAATGCATCAAATGTTCTATAAATGACATGACCAGCCTTCCTATAGGACATTTGCAGGACCGATTGCAAAGGCCCCCAAGTTCTGGCACTTTCTGCGATGACACTACAGGGATGGTAGGAATTTGGGGGACCGACCCTAGGTCCACTATGCCTATAGACATCAGACTCTGTGCGCTGTAACTTCGAGAAAGTTTGCAGCTTGACTAGACTCTAGACCTGCGCGTTTGCTTGGCTGACCTTAGCCTGGCCCTGGGCAAAGTCCCCCGAAGTCAGGCAGAGTTATATAGGTTGGCGAGGTTGGATTGTCCTTTATCGCCATTGAGTCCAGTACCGGAATATTACGTTTCTCCCATGCACTATATACTGTAAGTATAATATCCCCCTTGCACAGGTCCTTATGAAATGGGGATCCTTGTAACCTATAAAATTACGTTTTCAGGTGTCAATTCATAAAAAACACAATGTTGCCGGATATTGGAATTTCAAAAAAAAAAAGAGCCTATTGAACGCTGCCCGTCATTTCATAAAAAGGTCGGTTTGGCTCCTGTGAACATTTTATAAACAGTGAATTACTTTTAACATAGAGACAGCTTGAACATGGTTGCTCATTCTATAAACAAGTAATGGTGTGAGAGAATAGAACCATGTTGCAGATGGATACCTGCAGATTCTGAGGCTCAGATCCTGTGCAAAGCGTGCCCTTGCTGCATCGCTTTTGCTGGTCTCACGATGCTCTGGCATTGATGTACAGAACCTGGAGAAGCTGTACAGGACAGAGTGCGTTGGGGACTTCTTTGATGAGCCAGACATGGTGGGCGAGGATTTGCTGGAGCATTCTCCCCTTGCGAAGGAGATGCAGGATGTCACTGAGGCCGACCACAACCAGCTGAAGCATGTTTTGGTCCACATTGAGCGCGCTGCAAAGGAGCAGATTGATCAGCACGAACGTGATCAAAAAGGAGACGCAGCAGAAGATCAGACAGAAATGCCTACTGCCCAAGATCCAGATGCAGCACTGCCAGATGGACAGCAGCTTGTGGACCTTACCTCAAATCTGCCACAGAGGTCCGATGAAAGCCAGAACTATCCCAAGACATTGGCTGAGGCACGGTTCTAGCTGATTCTGTTGGCAAAGGGATGCAAAGGGTATGTCTTTTATAAAATCGTTTGGAACTGCACAGGGCTTCTCAGAAACCATCCCAACACATCCCAACACTAGCTGGTCGTTTTATAAATGTTTTCTATTGTCTTCATATGTTTTCAATTGTTTTTTGTCCTTTTCTTTACTTATTTTCATATATGTTCATATCATACTACTTCTGTTCCTTTTCTCCCAAGCTGCAAGTGCAGGTAGTGGCCCAGTGGCTCTTGACAATTGGTGGTCGGGGATTTGGCAGTTGGCCCTGCATCTGCGATGTGGCCCGTCCGGAATGGACAACCTCTACCTTCGTGGCGGAGAAGAAGTTCGATATCGAGCAAGGAACTTAAACTGGCACCAGACCTTTGGATTTTAAACAGGGTACAGTGTTTTGTTGTTGTTGTTGTTGCTACGTATTGTTTGATGATGTTTGATGTTGCTTGTATTTGTTGATTTTGTTTGTACTTTTCATTGCAGTATATATATATATAATGTGTTTAGTTGTTTTTGTATGTTTTTGTCTTGGACATGCTGCAGGAATTTGGAGCACCAATTGAACGAGATTCGGATGAATCAGGATGAGATGATGGCTGGACAGAGGGGCTCACGGATTTCAAAGTGGATTCAGCATTCCAGCACTATGCGGGATCGGGTTGGCTGGCAAGCTCCTGGGAAGATTCAGAGCCTTGTCCTTGTGATAGAAATGTTTTTTAAATATTGTTTGCTGTTTTTTAAAGGTATCTTGTTCGCCGAGCACACGGAGGGACCCGTCCGCGATACCGATAAAGGTATCTTGTTGAAGTTTAAGGAATAAGAATACTCATGTAGTTAAATAGTATAGCAATAAATAGAATATGGTGTTTATACAACGAGAAGCCATAACCCTCTAGAAGTATCTTCCACCAGTGTGTGAAACAATGTCATTTTATAAATAGCTGGCCTGCTAGATTTGAATAGATTTGACATTTATGAAATGGAACTGATTGTTTATAAAATAAACCTGTCTGTCACCTGGGTTACAGGATCGGGAAAGTTGTCATGCTCAACCTCGGGACGACTGTGCCTCCATGTCCACCATTTGCCCATACAGTTTGGCCCTGTGGCAAGAAGCCACGTCCAATCAGCCAAGAAAATCCGATTCAGTCCTTGAAGACTTTCAGGGCCACCATGCTTGTCCGTCACAAGAAATCCAAGGAGGATCTAGACGAAGAGTGTTATTGGGAGCCCTCGCCAAACACGTGGATGTATGGGCAGGAGCATCTTCTGGCTATCTTGGATGTGGACACCCAGCGCACTGTGGTGAATCGAGGCTACTTCTTTTTGACCCCAGCATCGGAGGAGATGATCCTGAAGGTGCAATCAGAGGAGCACCCGGCAGCGCCTCAGCGAGGCCTGACTGCGAGGAAAAGGGCGAAACCTCCGAAGTTGAAGCTTGGTCAGAAAGCGGCTTCGGCAAAGATTGCCCAGAAGGCCCAAGCAGCTCCAACGCCCAGTAGCATTCGGCGCTCAGTGGCTGGGAGGAGGATGGTTCGCTTCATGATGAAGAAAGCCCTGGAGGTGGACGCAGTCCGGTTTGCGGACAACCCTGTGTTCAACCCGAACACGGGGTCTTGCACGCTGAAGGGGTGTACTAGCTACAACTACAACCTCTTCATAGAGCAGGTTCCGCTGTACTTCCAGGCCCTCCACGTCAAGGTCCGCAACGCTGAGAAGTATGGACTGTTGGTCTACAAGACTATCACAGATCTGACCCAGCAGATGGAGAAGAACCCTTCGGAGCGTTCCTTGCTGCTCAACATCATCCAGGATGCCTTCAAGGCAAAGCTCAGCCAGCCGAAGGTCTAAGCTCTTGGGTGCTCCAGCGGCCAGCGGCTTTTTTAGCTCTTGCAGGCTGTTCAGGGTGAATCGCGCAAGTTTTTTGTTTACTTTTTTGGAGGGTGGTTCGGAACAGTCTTTGGATGTTTCTGGATTTTTTTCCCTATGACAGGCTCCTATCTATGTGGTGAAGCTCCACCAGCAAAGCTCTTGGCATGATGCATCTTGAAAAGATGCCACCTGTTTCTCCGGAGTGAATTCCACCCGAGAATCACTCAAGCAATCGAAAGATCCAGCAGCAGAGGTCGCAAATTTACATAGAAAGATAGAATCACAGACTTGTCCGCACAGAGGACTTTTGAGTCTGTCGCAAGAGATCCTGGGAGGATGAAGCCGAACATGGTTGAGCATTCCATAAACATGGGCCATTTTCGGATCAAAATGATCACTGGCACATGGAAAGCCATTCCATAAAGAGACAAAAGGCGCCTCTGAAGTTTTATTTTTTTGCTCTCCGAACACAACTTATATAAAAAGGTCGGGTTCTCAGTTTATAAAGCAGCAGCCTGAGAGATTCCATTTTATAAGTGATTTTTTCTTATAAAATGAAATCCCTTACCCCAGAGACCTCCACAAGGGGGATAGTATAATCTATTTAGTATATTTTAGTATAGGTTCATGTGTGGGCGCCCTCGCACCCCAATCACAGCTCTCCCCTGCCAGTCCGACTGCCCACAACAAGCACCAGCAGGTTCTTGTCCATCCACCCTGCCATGGTCTCCCCTTACTGCTGCCACATACCTGCCACTGAGCCAAAATTTGTTGGTCCTTCTTCATTGCAGACAAAAGTGATGAAGAAGACTGCTGGTCGTTCAGTTTGATGTTTCTTGATGGCCAGTGAGACCCTGTGTGCGACTGCACATTGGGAGGTCAATTCTTCCAAAGCGTAGAGATGCCAATGCTATGGCTCCTTGCCAACGATTTATGCAGGTAGGGCATATGGCGGCTTTCTTAAATAGTTATTCTGGTGCCCATGTAGCCCCCAGGAATAATTCTTCAGGTATGTTTTAATAAAGACGCTCACGGAATATCACAGAATAACTTTTGGGATCTTTCGAGGACCCCTGCAAACATATGGTCAAGGTAACCAGAACCTCTACTGCCTCAGAATAGTTATTTAAGGATGTGGGTGCTTCAAGATTTCGCAGCAGCCACACAGCATGCTTCCCAAACTGTTCCAATAGCCCAGGAGACTACCATGGAATGATCAATTGCAAATTCCTGACATGTCCATGACCTGGAATAGTAACCTATTCCAGGGTGACACCCACATGGTCCCTATGCAAGGCTTGAGGAGCCATACATTTGACATAACACGCCAACGGTGTCGGCAAGGTTTGAAAGTCTCCTCCCCGTGGCAACAGGGTTGTCGTAGGTGCAGATGGCACAAACAGGTGCACATCAAGAGTTTTTATCATATGATATGCTGCAAGACTCACCGTGGTTCAAGAACCCGTTTTCCGTTTTCGGTTTTCTGTGTTCAGCTGACAGCTTGCAGTCAACAACACCAAGAAGAAACTACAATTCCAACCAGAAGTCGGTGTGCTTTCAAAGCCAACCCAACCCGGCCCAACCCCCCGGCCAATTGTTTGAAATATTCCTTCGGTAGACCGATGTGTTTGTCACTAGCAGACTGAAACCTCGGCGTTTGGTCTTTTAGGGACTCCTGAATTCGGCAGGCAAACGGAAATGCTGGATAGTGTCTTTTCTCGATCTCAGGTGATTGACCTGCGCTCCATCTCTAGTTTGACTGGTTCAGAGTACATGAGGCAGGTTTTTGTTTAAACTGGTCTTTTGGTTTTGCCGCTTGCCATTGACACAGGTTTTCCCTGCATTGCGGTGCAGCCCTCTACGTCACTTGCATTTTATACCGCTCGCAAACTCACAAAGTCCACATGTTCATGGAGTGTATGTACTACTCAGATCCACTTGGCTGACACCGGTGACCAATTGTTTGTTTTCTTTATCTAAGGACGCAGTGCAGACACTTGCCCGCCACGGCAAGGCTTTGTATGCTGTATCCCCTCGTGTGATAAGGAATATCGTCCAAATCATATGTGCTTCTATGCTCCCTCCCTCCTGCATCGCCGCATTCCATTTGCCAGGCAACAGTAGATGAGCTAAGCCAACGTGGTACACTAGTTCACGGCTGCAAAGATCAGCGGGCCTGCCATGTTTCTGTTGATAGATATTCCAGCAAGGGTGGAGGCTCCACACACTTTGTCAGGTGGTACTTTTTTCACGGCTCAGTGGTGCATTATTGAAGTCCAACTAATGTCGACGCGCGCACTTTCTCAAAAGCAGCACGTAAGCACAATCAAGAACACGAAGAACTGTGATGCACCGTAGCGAGCAACAGCATTCGCCATGGATGCTGCTGGATGAGTGCTAGCCTAAGGGGCACACTTGCGGCAAAGCATCACCGCTCAACTGTTTCATTCGGGGGCCCATGAGAGTTTCATGAGATAGCCGGCTATCATGAGGGTTTCCGAGTTTCTGCTTTGACATATTGCCGGGTCTCATTTGCGTGTCGTTCCTTCTCTTTCATTTTGGCTAGAGCACCTGTGCGCGAGGGCGACTAGCCAATTTCAATGGACTCCCAAGCTCCCCTAGCCAATGCCGCAGTTCTTGCATTCATTGTGCTCTAGGATTAGGCATTCCCGCTGAAACAACAACAGATCAATTTCTCCACCAGCATAGACGCGCCAAGTGCGCTGGGGTTCGTAGGAAGGCCTTGCGCAGCCATGACAAGCCTTTTTGGCTTTGGTCGCGATGACCCCAGTGTGTACACAGCACAGTTCGATCGGGATCCGGTGGAGGCTGTCAAAGCGTTGAAGTCAGACTTTGTCGCTTGACGCAAATTGTAGGTATTGTCCTATTTGTGCTTCCTTGGCACAACGTCATACAAGGAAACTCCTTTCCTTTCTACAATACTTGATGCTTGATTCTAGTACATGTTCAATTTCACATTTGTGCAAAATGGAGAACTGGCTTTCATTGTGCCCTTTGAGAGCCTTTGATGTAAGGAATCTTTCTACGAAAGGATGCAGCTCCGCCTGGAAGGGCTTTCAGCTGCCATGGGTTGCGAGACAGGTTCTTCGACCATTGACTCCCACGGAAAAAGCCGTCCATCCAATGGCCCCCATGAGATGACACCCTGTGAACCACCAGCTTTGGTCTTTCATCGCCAAGAGATGAAACAGGAAGCTTCACAAGAAACAGGCCATGAGAAGAGGTATGTAGTCTCAACTGGTCTCAAGCTCGGATCGGCGGACATCAGATTGCACGGAAGGTGGATGGAGCTGTCTACGCACAAGCTGAACGGCTCAATAGATACAGTTACAAAAACCGCCACAAGGAAGCCAAAGCGTATCTCGAAAAGAGTTGAAAGCCAAGTATTTAGCACAGATGGGGCTCTTGCCAAATTTTGCCCTATCATTCAGCCTGCTGGTCGCTTCAGACTTCTTTGGGACGCCATTGGTTTGAGTTTGATCATGTTGGATGCCTTCGTTTTGCCCGTGACTTTAGCTTGGGACTTAGAAGAAGGTTGGCAGTCTGCAGGCAGCATTTTTCTCCTTTTCACTTTCGTGGCCAGTGTGGCTTTTTGGTCAACGGACCTAATCTTGAATCTCACGACAGCCTTCTACAAGAATGGCAAGCTGGTTACTGAGAGGAAGGAGATTGTTCTTCATTATGCAAAGACATGGCTGCTTTTTGACATCAGCTTGCTTACTTTAGACTTTGTAAATGCAACTACTGAAGTTGGAGAACTCGCAGCGCTGAGATATGCTAGAATGGTGCGAGCATTTCGCCTTCTGCGATTGCTAAAGATGTCAAAGTTGCAAGACATTTTGCAAGAGGTAGCAGCATCAAGCGGCCGGCAGGGAGTGATGCTCATCATTGCAATCGTGAACACCACCTTTATCATTCTGCTTTTTGCTCATGTACTGACATGTATTTGGTATGCCCTTGGGAAAGCCGCCGAAGAAAGCATGGGCATCGAGAGCTGGCTTACTCAACTTAATGCATATGGACCAGACTTCGAAGCCAAAGTGACCAATATGGGCTCCAATGTGGTGACGATGCAATACCTGACGTCCTTGCGATACATTATGAACGCCCCTTCTCCTCCCACGATCGCACCCGAAAGTTTGTGGGAAAGAGCTTTTGATATCTTCAACTATGTCTTTGTCTTGGTGGTCATCGGGACATCTGTTTCAGGCATCCTCAGTACCGTTGGAGAGCTCAAGGCTATGAATGAAGCAGCTGCCAGACAGCGCCGAGAGATTCGAATGTACTTGACAAGTCAGAGTGCCTCGCTTGAACTAGTGACTCGAATCATGAAATTTGTGGACTACAAATTGCAAAGAACATCGGCTATGACCTTTGATCAAACGTTAATTTCCAAGACACTGCAGACTGAGCTCTTTGTTGGGCAACGCAGCCGCTTTTTGGAGCGCTTGCCGATCTTCAAGCTGACATCCGACTTATTCTCTGATGTTTTTGCCGGCATTTGCGCTGCTTTGTCCAAGGGTGTCTATGAGCAGAAGGAGAGCGTGTTTGTGGCAGGTGCATGGTCCACTGCACTTTACGTAACAGCTGCCGGAAGCTTCACTCATTCTTTGGAGGGTGGCAGCCCAGAGCAAGTTGAAGGAGAATGGTGGTTCGGGGAACTAAGTCTATATTCAGAGGCGACCATTCACACTTCGAACTTGGTTGCCAAAACATTTGCTGAAGTCTATTCCCTTAATGGGAAGGACTTGGCAGATTGTGTCAGGGACTCTCCTGGATGCACATCAATGTTTTGTGAGTATGCCAAAGATTTCGTCAGCTCGACGCAAAAAATGGGACTTTCCATGTCGCTCGAGGAACTAGCTGAGCTTTCCGAGAAGTGCTGCAAGCAAAATCAATTCTACCAGGTCCTCTACCCTGACCCAAGCAAACTCTTTCACAATATCGCAGTGGGAAAAAATGTGCGAGAGAGTCTAGCCAGAGAAGCGTCGAGGAGTCGAAATCAAACCATCAGCATGGGTGTGAGTATGGAGAAGCTGGAGAGCGCAAAATCAGAGGTGTCGCAGCAGATTTTGCACCTTGACCAGCAAAGTACCAAGTCAGATGAAAGTGGAGATGTCGATCCTGGTTTGCCAGAGCTGCTCTCCCTTGTGGCCAGCAAGGGTTTGGAGTGCACTGAATCTTTGCCAAAGGAGTTGGAGAGAAGGGTGCCAGAGCTGCATAGTCGACATGGCACGCACATCGTGTTCGATCAAGCTGCAGAGCAAGATCGCGCAATGTCTGCATGCATCAGCATTCTGGCTCTTGTGCATAACAGGTATGACATGTTTACCCAGCCACAGGCGGCACCGGTGAAACTTCGTCCAGATCAATGGGAGGAACTTCAGAAAATGGTGCAAGTCATCTCACCAAGTCTGGAGCAGCTGCATGCCGTGGTCATCCTCTTGTCCATCCGCGGCCTTGGAAAGAACAAGACTGTTTTGAGTCAGGTGCCCAAAGACATGCAACGCCCAGAAAGAGCAGTGATACATCTAATGGATGATGCTCAGCATGTGGTGCCTTCAGTGGCTTGGTTGAGCGAAGCGGCCAAGAAGTACGTGCATGATGCACTCCATGTGCATGAAACCTTCAACCTTGCCCAAATGCTGCAGGGTGAGAATACTCCAGCCAATGTACGAGAGCTCTATCAGCTTGTGAATGAGCAAGGGCAAAGTAGCTTCAACTTCTACATGCTCTTCTTGCTGGGGTTCATGAGTGGCATAGCAGGTGGTGAGGGCTCACGATTTATGAATGCTAAGAATGCTGAAGGCTCAATTGCAGGCTTTTGTATGTTGCAGAAGTTGTTGACCAGCCAGCCTCAGGAGATCTACTGGGGCTATATGGTTGCTCGAGCCAAGGCTCTCTATATCCCTTTCGAAACACCAGAAGACTTGGTTCTCATCCGTTTGGCCTGTCTTTGCCGCTTGCAGGATGCAAAAGCTCATGAACTCTTGAAGGTGTCTTGGAATTCCTTGGGGCAATTCCAAAAGAAAGTGCTGACTGATCATTTCCTGGCAGACGGCATTGAAACTCAAGCCTTTGTGCTGGAGTTCTTGCCCATGTGCTTCGCAAATGCGAAGACAAATGGCCTTATAGGCTTGACGCTTTTGCTAGAGGTCTTGGTTGAGTTGCTGACAAACCTAAAGCAAGCGGTGCAAGGGCTAAAGGAAATGCAGATGATGCATGCTGTGGATCTCATGGACATGAGTGAATTCATCGCAGCAGTTCAGAATCGCTTTGTCTTCCAAACTTGTGTGTCTCGTTGCTCCTTCAAGTTTTCCGGCAGTCGAATTAGCGTTGAAATGACTGGAAAAAACTGGGGCCGGACTAACGACCCTGACAGCGATTTGACCAGCTTGGCCTACGAGGTGAAGTCCATACTTGCAAACCAGAAGAGAGATGAACAGTTCTAAGCGGTGGCATCCTCCAACGCTCCGAAGTCGGAGCGCCATGCTTCCTCGCAGAAATAAAACATCGAGGATGAGAATATCAATACCATGACGATGACTTGAGATGTTGTGAGAACACTGAGAACACCTGAGATGTGGAGAGTCTCACCCAATCCCGCACCCGCAGCACTTGGTCAATATCAACGCTATGTACTGTAGAGAATTCATCATCATGGAATCTTTGTGTGATCAAGTCTGACTAGTGCCGCACAAATGCCGCGGGGCTTCTCAAAAAGAGAACGATGCGCAGCCAACGCAGGTTTGAAGACCCTTTGCACAAGGCACAACGTGTCGCTTACGATCAAGTCAGGATGCGTTTAATCATAAGCACGACGTTTCTGTGCATGCATATCTCAGCTTCTTGCAAATGATTGTCTTTGCTTTAAGATGCGCCCGGCGGCTATGTCAGATGAGAAAAAGTATTTGTACCATGTTGTAGCTATATGCAATTGTTACTATGCAGTGAACATAGGCTTCTGCCTTCAAACCCTATATAAAGCAACTGCCGGGCAGCCGCCACTCGCAGTAGGGCACTGCTTGGAAGAAAGGATGCACTTTGCAGTGCCTGGTGTGGTGTAAACTTTCCGTGCTTGCATCAAGTGCTTCCGCTATGTCAACACTCCTATCCGGTTGGAATTGGGTGCTTGATGCTGGATAGCAA